TGTTTCTAACTGATTTTTTTGTGATGAATATGGATGAAGATGAAAACATACCTCTGATCTTAGGCCTTCCATTCATAAAAATAGCCTGGATGATGATCGATGTTGATGAAGGAACGATGAAAGTAAGGTGCAAAAATAAAGAAGTAAACTTCAAATTATTTCAAGCCTTGCAACACAAAGAGGAAGACTATTCCTAAGATAAAGCTCCTGATTAAATAGGTCTGGTATTGAAAAAATGAATGACAAAGAAATACCAAAGAATGGTGGCAAGGACACTTTAAAGAATTCATACAAACCACCTTAATTTTTCGCGAAAACAGACGTCGAGCTAATGACGTTAAACAAGAACCTGTTGGGAGGTAACCCAACCCTTTACACATTTATTTCCTTGCATAATTAGTTTTGAATAGGAAGAAAAATAGCATGAATACGCCAAAAATAAAATTTTGCATAAAACTGAATTCTGTAGAATTCGCTAAGCGAGCCCTGTTTCGCTAAGCGAAAATAGCAGAATCAGCAAAAATGTCATTCATGCTACTTTCTTCACTTTAGTATATGTGTATCTTTAAATAGTTTTAAGATGTAGGTATATTATGATCAATCCATGATATCTTTCTTGAACATTTGTCTTCTATAATTGAAATGGAAAAGGCAAGGAGTGGAAGACCAAAGTCACATGAATCAACAAAGGTGCAATGGCATGGATCCAATTTTAAAAGAATTGTACAAACCAAGGTATGTGTTTATTTCTTTCTTAGGGTTTAGTATGAATATGACATGAGTAATTTGCATAAAATCAGCTCATTCATCCTAAGCAATAACATGTTTTCCTTATGAATCACTTAGTTCCAAAACCAGAAAAGTGAGGCAGCCTTCCAGGGTTCACCATATGCTTAGGAGACTGATAAATTCTTATTTTAACTCATTTAATTCATGTTTAATCTTACACTTATACTGATAATTATAAAGACATAGAAGGGATACATGCATTTCTTTGAATTTGAACATAACTAGTAAACCAAAATGTAGCCTCATTAGTCCTTGTGAGTAAGTGATCATTTACAACCAGTTTTTGAGCCATATGACATGAATATATCAGCTATGAACTGAATAATACATTAAGTAAGCCACTTAGTGAATATTATTTCATATCTTTGAAAAATCATAAAAGTTCATAATTGATAAGAATATATTTTTCTTGTATTGAACCTTGAAACCATTGAGATCTTGAGAATTTTTTTGAAGAGCATTCAAAGAAAAGTGAAAGTTTTGATCAAGTGGAGGAGGAAAAGAAAGAGGTTTAGTTCAAAAGAAAAAATAGAAAGTGGTAAGAATAAAAAATGAAAGAAAAATAAAAGTGAGAAAAGAAAAGAACAAAGAATAGCAAAGATGAATGTGTTTAAAAAGAAAGAAACAAGAAAAGGTTTTGATAAGTAATTTGATTCAAATAAATCAAAGTTTATGAGTGCACTTCAAAGAAAAACTAGACAAACACTTTGTTTCCATTAGCCATAGGAAATGACACTTGTTTGGTACCTTGGCCATATTACAACCATAAAAAGACCTTAGTGATCTTTGCCTTTACATGTCAACATACTTTGCTTAGATAAATGCATGAACTAATCAAGATGTTAGCAAATTTATCATATGAGAGATCAAAATACCTCATAATTTTTTAATTGCACAAAAATGTGATAGGTGCGATTCATCAAAAGACATGTCTATTAATTTGGATTGCTTGACATGAATTTTATGTGGAGGAGTCTTTTCATAAGTATTCCTAAATGCTAGGAGAATGATAAACATGGCATACTTGGATGTGGAAATTCAACATTAAACCATGCACTTGATTACTTCTTTGAAAAATTTGGTTGATCATGTGAAAGGTGGTATAGAAATTATTGCTTTTAATTTAATTTGATTTAGGACAAACAAAGATTCAAGTTGGGGAGAGTTTGATGAATGCTTGATTCATGGAAATTTTTACATCATTACATAGAATGTATCTTACTAAATTGACAAGATTATAACATAAAAACCTCAACTATTGAATAAAAGTGTTATTGTGCAATTTTACTTGGTTTGATTTGCTTTTGTGCAGGTTTTGACCATGAAAACAAAAACCAGCTTTCAGACACTTCGCTAAGAAAGCAGTAGCTAATAGACCAATTCTCTTAGCGAGGAATAGTTCGTGTAGCGAATACAAGAAAAAAGTAAATCAAGTTTCGTCAGCAATGAGGAAAAGCGAAGAAGTTTGCTTAGCGAATCGGGCCTTCGCTTAGCAAAATAGGACGGTCAAAGGAAGATATTTTGAGAAGACTTTAGGCTAAAGAAAGCAATTTCGCTAATCGAACTTCACCTCGCTTAGCGAGCTTTGGCGGTTTATTAAAGACAAGTTGATTTGAAATCTTAAATGGAGAAGTAAAGACTTCGCTTAGCGAACTCTGGGGGTTTCTGGAAGATATTTGAAAAAGCTTAAGACTGAAGAAAGCAACTTCACTAAGCGAGCCAAACTTCACTTAGCAAACTCAGAGCAAAAGACTTAGTGCAAAAGAAAATAGGGACTTCACTTAGCGAAGTATAGTTCGCTTAGCGAACTCAAGCGGCCAAAACTGCTATAAATAAACCAGAAACTCAACTCAATAAATTATTCCACTTTTTATCTTGTAATACAATATACAATTGTAATTGCAGTAGGAATATAAGAGGTTTTAGGTAGAAGAGCTGGATACCCATCAAGAGTCGGGAAATTGTCATTGATGTCGTTTCAACTCAATTCTCCAATTGTGCTTCAAGCCACCATGAGTAGTTGAACCCCTCTCTTGTTGGGATTGGTCGTAGTTCATCGAAACAATATGTATTCTCTTTAATCACAGTGTTATATATAATATATGTTTGAATCATTATCGTTGTTATCTTTGCTTTAGCGTTTATTTCATGGATTGAATTGATATTGATAAATACGGTTCTAATCTTGATCCAAGATAACAACTATTAAACTCTAAATTCTAGACATAGATTTAGGTTTAATATTCATTAAAAGTATTGAATCATAATGCTATTGTATTGTTTAATAGGATGATAAATCATCGATTAAACTATAAGGTAGAAATCGCATCAAGGTTTAGACATGAGCTTTGTTTTTGTGCGATACGTGATGATAAAGAAACATTCTTAAATTGTGTATAATTGATTTCTGATATGCATATTTAATCGGAAAATGAACACCAATTCCCAACAAGTTTATTTCTCTGAAACTTATCTTTCGTATTTTACACATTTTACTTTTCGTCACTTATAAACCAAACAAATCTTGAAACTTATGCTTAGAAATATAGAAATCGTTGAAGGGTTTTGATATCGCTCTAACTCTTGCGGATACGATAAAATAATACTTTCATTTGATTATATTCAACATCACTTGCATGTTTTAAAAATATTTGGAACACTTACATATGCTTCAACACTTCATGAACATAGAACAAAATTATACCATAGGGGTAAGAAAATGCAATTTCTTGGGTTACAAGCAAAGGGTAAAAGGAACAATCCTCTTGGATATTAACAACAATAAAATTTTCATTTCAAGAAATGTCATTCATCCTGAACACATATTTTCTTTTAAACCAAATTGGCAATATCACAATGGTGATAACACAACCCATCGACCTCATGATCCCCATGACAGTTCCAAACAACCTGAAAATCAGTTATCTACTTCTCATCCTGAACCTTGTTCTCCTGAACATTACTCAAACATAGACAATACAAATCATCCGCCAACAAACAATAACAGACTCATTAGACACATGCAGGCTCCTTCTCACTTAGAGGACTATATCTGCAACTCCTCACACAGTTTGACTGCGTCATTACCTTCAGGTATTTCATACCCTATTTCTTCTTTCCATTCATTTGAGTCTTTATCTGCTAATCATAAGTCATTCAGTTTGTCTGTCACCCAGGATTCCGAACCTAAAACTTATGAGGAAGCATAAAAAGATGAAAATTGGAAGATATCTATGTATTCTAAATTAGAAGCTCTTGCTGCAAATGGTACTTGGGTATTGATGGACTTGCCATCCAATGTTAAACCTATAGAGAACATATGGGTTTATAAAATCTAGCACAAAGTAGGTGGTTTAGTAGAAACATACAAAGGCAAATTAGTTGCAAAAGGGCTATAGTCAAGTCGAAGGCTTAGATTTTTTTAATGCTTTTTCACCATTGGCAAAACTATCTACTGTTAGAATTCTACTTGCAATAGAATCCATCAACCATTGGCACTTACATCAACTTGATGTGAGTAATACTTTCTTTCATGGAGACTTAGAAGAGGATGTGTGCATGACCATGCCAAAAGGTGTTTCATGTGTCAAACCAAATAAAGTATGCAAGTTAGTGAAAAGCTTGTATGGTTTGAGGCAAGCTAGTTGAAAATGGTATGAAAAACTCACATCTCTTTTATTAGAACGTGGCTATGTTCAATCAAATGCTGATTACTCCATGTTCACTTTTAAAATGGGTGAACACATTACCATCTTACTAGTATATGTTGATGACATAATACTAGATGGAACTTCATTGATGAAATTTGATCGTATCAAGTTAATTCTGGATGCAAAATTTAAAATCAAGGACTTGGGAATATTAAAGTATTGGTGACAACCAAAGTGCTTTGCATATAGCATCAAATCATGTGTTTCATGATAGAACAAAGCATCTTGAGATAGATTACCACTTAGTGCGAGAGAAAGTACAACAAGGAATTTTGAAGTTATTACCAATATCTTCACATAAACAGCTGGCTGATTTCCTTACAAAGCCATTACAACTAACTAAGTTCACGGCTGAGTTCAAATTCACAACTTCAATAATTAATAATTAATAAGTAGTAATTTTTATTGTTCTTAAAATAAAAGTCTCCATCTTCATACATAAAAGATGCATCTCACTCTTACAGAAAAGGATTAGATGACATTGATACCTCAAAATCACTCTCATATGCTTAGAAAGTAAAACCCAAAAAAACCTAAAATCAACATCATAGAGTGAGGAGCAGCCATACGAACACTACTAGAAATATTAGAATTATTAGCTAATTTTACTAGGCTGCAATCAAGACCTTTTTTCCCTTCTCTGCACTCATGAGCAAATAATCCAGGTGGATATTTTCCACAAGCAATTATGTAAGTGAACATAGTTGTAGCACAATTAGTTGTCAAATCATTGATCTCATCAGCAAATGGACAGGCAAATTGTTTGAATGCCTCACAGCAAGCTTTTGGAGGATATCGTGGACCTTTACATTGGCTTATTATGATTGTGTAGTTCTCGTTTTCAAAATCAACTTCACAAGCTGCATAATTTACAATAAAAAAACTCTTTAATTATTTGCATTAAAGAGCAATTTTATGGAGAATTATATAAAATAAAAGTAAAAAATATAGAGTATCATGGATATATAACAAATTGTTATTAATTACCTTTAATAGTTTGTAGTAGGGCGCGGCTAGTGAAAGTATCATACTCAAATATGTCATCTATGTCAAAAAAATAATTTAAAACTATATTAAATTTTAAAGATTTTTGATATCTAAATATTTATATCATACAAAAAAAGAAATTAACATACCTGATAGGAATGGAGAAGAGGTTGCCAATGTCATTAGGAGGAAAAAATAGAGAAAAGAAGAGAAGAAGGCATAAGAAACCTTCACCATTTGAGAGATACAAAAATGTTATTGGTACATTAGAACAGATAAACCCAATTTGATTGATTTTTATCTTACATTACAACTGATTTTTTTTTTTCTCATTTAAAAATAATCAATGAGATTCTCTAATCATTGTTCAACTATCTAGATAACACATAAATAAATAATCTTAATAAAATTTAAAAAATGCACATAAATAAAAGATATGAACTAAATGAATATTCAATTAAAAAGTTAGATTATGAAAGTTTAAAAGTTAACACATTGAAACCATGAACTAAAAAATAAAATGCATAGATAGAAAAGAAGAAAAAAAAGAAACATTAAGATCATATAAAAATAAATAAATTCTACCTTGAAATGGAAAAAGCAAGTTGAGAAAGCCATGGTTGAAGAAAAAAGAGAACCTAATATTAGGATGAGCAACAATAGGCACTTCATGAATGAATAATATAATGCAAAACAGATAGTAACTAGCTAGTGACAGAACTTTCCACTTTACTAAAAGAACAAAATATATTGAATGTAGACCTAAAATAAAAGGAAGAAAAAAGGGTAAGTAAGTGTCCATTAACTGAAAAAAGAGTTTAAGTTTTATGGAAGACAGATAACTACACTTGACAACAAAAAGTTTTCTAAAATAGCATGAATAATTGAATAAGACGATACCCTTTTTTTTCTTTCTATCCTAGAAATACAATAATATGAAATTATTAAATAATACATAAAACAATTAAATAATATGAACTTATTAAATTTTACTATTCATTTTGATTTTCTCATGTTAAAACAATTAATCATCCTAAACTCTATTGATGCTCACGATTGGGTTCCAACCTAAAAGTTGTGGTTAAATCAGAAGAAACTTTTATCATCTCTTGAGTATTAACTATAATCTTCTAAATTAAGAGAAATTAATAAAATTAAATGTATGTATCAAATGTATATTAATATTCACATTTTTTCGGATAAAAATCGAATATCCTTTGCACATAATTGTAGAGACTAAAATTATGTTTAGTATGACATATTTTTAAGCTTATAATTTATAATTTATAGCTTATAAACTTCAATGACAATAAAATACTTGTTTAATAATATTCTTTTCATTAAAAATTTATAGTATATTTTATTTGCTTATAGCTTATTTTACATACACTATTTCAAATAACATTTTTATCACTTTATAGCTTATAAAACAACTACATATTAAATGTCTTTTATGTTATTTTATATTTATCATTTACATAAACTATTAATTTTTTCAAACACTTCCATTAACTTATCAGTTATATGTCATCATCTATCAACTATAAACTACAAGTCATCAGTCACTAGTCAGCAATCATAATGTATAAGTTACCAACTAGTTTATTTTTACAAATTAGAGCCTAATCCCTTGAGTCGGAAAGAACCACAATAAACGACAAAGCTCTTTCTTTAGAGAATTTAACACTGCTGTGAGTTGGCTGAGTTCAAATCTAATACTTTTGTTTAAGCTGTAAGAGATCTCTTACCATCAGAATATATTTTTTAGCTTTGGATAGCGCTGTCTATTCCAGCGCTGCCGTGGATAAAGTCAACATTTTGTTAAAAGTAAAAGCGCTGTTAAATCCTCCCTTTAGGCGGTCCTTTTATTTTGAAAGCGTTGTCAAATGCCCCCTTTAGACAGCGCTTTTACTTTTAAAGCGTTGCTAAAGTCCCTCTTTAGCCATCACTTTTACTTTTAAAGCGCTGCTAAATGCCTCCTTTAGTCAGCGCTTTTTCTGAAACAAAAAAAAAAAAAAATCCCTTTAGGCAGCGCTTTTAATGTTAAAGCGATGTCTAAAGCCTCCTTTAGGCAGCGCTTTTTTTTAAAAGCGCTGCTAAAGAACCCCTTTAGCCAGCGCTTTTTCTGAAACAATTTTTTTTTAAAAAAAAAGAGCCCCTTTAGGCAGCGCTTTTACAGTAAAAGCGCTGTCTAAAGGGGGACTTTAGACATAAAGTGCTGTCTAATGTCCACGAAATTTTTTATATAACCTTTTTGAAAGAAAAAAACACTGTTTGATATATACAATTTTATATGCACATATTTTAACCATATTTGCACAAGATTTTCACCATATTTTGCACCTGTATATACCATTACAAATTTCACCATATTTTCACTAATATTGGCGCTTCAATCCAATAAAAAATAATACTAAAAGATACTATACATTTGCACCAATGTATTTATATATACTATTACTCTTGTACATATATACTTTTACAAAAAAACAACACCAAAACAACACCATTATATACCATTACAACATCTATTCATCTCAATCTTCTACATATGCACATATAACCTAAAACAACACCAAAATATTGTAATTCATACCATGATAAAAATAAAATATATATAATTTACCACATGACAAATAACAATAAAATTACAACACTTGAATATACTCAAAATTCTCATCAATTAAAGTAAGATTATAATATACCTTATATAACTTTCGTCTCAATAATGTATTGACACCAATCCTCCTTAAGTTCATCCAACTGAGAACTTGAGTAATAAACACACTTGAATTCATCAAAGTACTACATAATAATATAACATAATATGTTTAAGTTAAAACTATTTAATTATATGAGAAATATGTGTTAAATATTAAAATAACTCCTAAGTTAGAAATCCATACCTTAGATGTAATCTCTATTCGATTCAAAAGAAGGATTTCTCTCATAAATCTCAACATGTAAAAACCTCAATCTACTTCATTACGCTACCGGAGACACTACACATGAAAAGAAAATATGGATAAGGTCTAAGTTTTATCAAGTATCATCACTATTAATATAATCAAAATTGTGATAATTAATTAATATACCTCCACTATAATCCATGTAATATTGTTGGCTTTACTCTTTGATACTTGAATACCTCTTCGTGCTCAAAAAACTTGTATAATGCTAATAAAACATAAACGCATATTTAGAACAATTCATATAAATGAATAAATAAATATACACACAAATATTTAGAACAATCTCAGTTACGTATCAACCATATTCTTCATATCTTGGTATGCACTTGGATCATTGCGTAAAGAATCCAGATAATATACAACTTCTCTGATAGGATTAATCGCGATCAACATCTAATGTCCATTGTAACATTAAACAAATGTAAGATGAAAACTTTCTACACAACGTCAAAATATGAAAAATTATAATAGATGAATTTAGAATGAAAATCTAACCCGTTGTTGGTATTAAGCGGTAAAAAGAACAACATTTTGGTATCATTGTCGGCCATAAAGCGCTCGAGTTCATACGCCATGACTTCATCTGGTTTATGCATGATTAATCCTAAGTTGGTATTGTAAGGAGCTAAGAAAGTGAATCTTTGCTCCAATCCACTCGGGCGTATCAATTTTTCATACAAAAACCTTTAAAAAAAGACCTCATTAACATTTGAAATGAGTAAATGAATTGATCAATTAATTAGACAAAGTAGATCGGATATACCTTATATATGTATTAACAACACCGAGGCCTAATTGCGTATGTTGTAAAACTTGATCAAAATCCTCCATACCAATTGTTTCGGAATATTCAAAATAAAAAATACCAAACTCCATAGGTAGAAGACGAGTATTTCCTTCCAGAATATCAGACATTTCTAAAAATGTCCCAAGGCACAACCTAAACTTGGAAGTAGTTTTTTTAGGCGTGGTCTTCTTAGAAACAACCTTTTTTTGTGTGGAAGTGTTATAATTTCAGGATTCTTACCCCTACCGACATCTTCATTCTCTTTAGCATGAATCTAAAGATCATATAATTAGTTATGTGAAGTATAAGATCACAAATTAATATTTTTCATGCATAAATATCATATAGTCGTGATGTACCTCTTTTATTGATGCAACTGACTCGGTTTTCCGTGGAATCCCCTTGTCTTTTGCTTTAGATTTTGTTGGAGTCTAATTAACATAACTATGTAAAAACAAATGTACGTAAAATGCGCGTAAAAACTTTGAATACTCAAAGGTTCATATATATGGTTTTAATCATACCTCATCATCTATACTAATGAGGCTTGACGGCCATGCAACAAACGAACCTATTCCATCTCCCATCAGTGTGGCATCCGAAACATCGCCAGGATGTGGTAATAACGCATCCCTCTCCAAAGCAATGTCAACCAATACTTTCAAACAGCCAGTAGGGAGCGGTTTAGTGTGAATTAATTCTCCCAAAGTGTTATGCACTTTTTCCTTGCCAACCATCCGATAAGTCGGTAACGATAAGTTGAGTTGAAAAGGTGAAATGCCCTAAAACCAATAATAAATTTCAAATTATTATTGTGTATATATTTCAATTAAAAAAATTAAGCTACTTTAATTTCATATATATATATATATATATATATATATATATATATATATATATATATATATATATATATATATATATATATATATATATATATATATATATATATATATTATATATATATATATATACCTCTGGAAGATTCAGTTGAAAATTACAACCGATACTATCTTTGTCACTAGCTTTAAAACCTGAAGCTTGCTCTCTTAATTCTTTTTCCCTTTTCAATTCACGGACTTCAGCTTGTAGTGCTTCCAAGGTTTCCTGCAGTTCTTTATTTCTAGGAGTCTTTTGTGTTTTCATCTTCAAGGATTTTGGAGTGATTCCAAATCCCTAGCCCTCACCCGACCAGAATACTCACGAACATCTAATGCTCGACTAAGTATTCTCCTGCAATCATTGTCTTCATATGGACATATATACTGAGATAGAGTCTCTTGAAATTCATATGAATATTGAAAATTTGTCTTAATTATATGTTACTAAACTTTTGATTTAATTAAAGAAATGATGCTATACTTACGCATTTCTCAAAAACTTTTTGAACATCTTCTTTGACAACTCCATCCTTACCCACACGGGCTTCCTTCCATAAAACATGTGCCGGAAGAGATGTTTCAGAACTATTCTCCTTTGCTAACTACACATTAAGCCAAATAATATGATCAAATATAATTCATGATGAAAAATTATATCATTGAAATTTATAGATACTTACGATATACTTTTCTAAGCGTCCATATCCAATATGCCCTTTTCTGTATGGATACGCGGGACTTGATTCTCTTTGCCGATTTGTTTCACTTATACTCTAAAATTATTGAGTTTTTCATTTGGCTTTAAACGTTTCCCATTCTTTAGGTGAAACCAAACTTGCATATTTAGATGGAAGCTCTGAATCAACAAAAATTTTATCCGCATCCCTAAGAAACTTGATATTTAAAAAAGTCCTAAACCCTCTTAGTAGTTTTCTGGCCAATCGGAGACAAAAAGTTCTTCTAGTATCATCAATGTTGTTGAAAGACCTCTACGAAAAACATACACAGAGTGCGTTAGTACAAGTAATTTAA